TATTTTGTTTGATAGTAATATTACAACACCTGCTTTTTTCTCCCTGTTGTTTGCATGAAATATCTTTTTCCATCCCTTGACTTTTAGTCTGTGCATGTCTTTGGGTTTGAGGTGAGTCTCTTGTAAGCAGCATATAGATGGGTCTTGCTTTTTTATCCATTCTATTACTCTGTGCCTTTTGATTGGTGCACTCCGTCCATTTACATTCAGGGTGATTATTGAAAGATATGTACTTATTACCATTGCAGGCTTTAGATTTGTGGTTACCAAAGGTTCAAGGTTAGCTTGTTTACTACCTTACTGTCTAACTTAACTCGCTTATTGAGCTATTATAAACACGGTCTGATGATTCTTTATTTCTCTCCCTTCTTATTCCTCCTCCATTTGTCATATGTTGGGTGTTTTGTTCTGTGCTCTTTTTAGGAGTGCTCCCATCTAGAGCAGTCCCTGTAAGATGCCCTGTAGAGGTGGTTTGTGGGAGGCAAATTCCCTCAACTTCTGCTTGTCTGGGAATAGTTTAATCCCTCCTTTATATTTAAATGATAATCGTGCTGGATACAGTATTCTTGGTTCAAGGCCCTTCTGTTTCATTGCATTAAATATATCATGCCATTCTCTTTTGGCCTGTAAGGTTTCTGTTGAGAAGTCTGATGATAGCCTGATGGGTTTTCCTTTGTAGTTGATCTTTTCTCTCTCTCTGGCTGCCTTTAATACTCTGTCCTTGTCTTTGATCTTTGCCATATTAATTATTATGTGTCTTGGTGTTGCCCTCCTGGGTCCCTTGTCATGGGAGTTCTGTGTGCTTCTGTGGTCTAAGAGGCCATTTCCTCCCCTAGTTTGGGGAAGTTTTCAGCAATTATTTCTTCAAAGACACTTTCTATCCCTTTTTCTCTCTCTTCTTGTTCTGGTAGCCCTATGATGTGGATATTGTTCTGTTTCGATTGGTCACACAGTTCTCTTAATGTTCTTTCATTCCTGGAGATCCTTTTATCTCTCTGCATCAGCTTCTCTGCGTTCCTGTTCTCTGTTTTTTAGTCCATTAATGGTCTCTTGCATCTCGTCCATTCTGCTTTGAAGTCCTTCCAGAGATTGTTTTATTTCTGTATTCTCCCTCCTTAGTTCTTGCATATTTCTCTGCAAGTCCATCAGCATGGTTATGACTTTTGTTTTGAATTCTTTTTCAGGAAGATTGGTGAAATCTATCTCCCCATATTCCTTCTCAGGGGAGGATGTGGAAGATGTCTGGGTTAGTCTGGTCTGGATCAAATTTTTTTTTCCTTTTCATGTTGATAGATGTAGTGGTATGCTATTGACTCATCTGTCTGCTGGGAGAGCCAAGACCCTTTCCCCTTGCTCCTGACCTTTCTTTACTGGGACAACAGTGACCCCTAGCGGCTTGTGTTGGGCAGTTGCGTGTAGACTGGGTCTCCGTTTCTTGCCCGGCCACTATGGAGGAAGCTCCCTTGCTGTGGGCATGGCCAGCCTCAGGCTGCTTTCCCGTTATGGCGGGGCACTGGAGGGGGAAAGGACGGGGGGCTGTTTATCGCCGTGAGGGGTCTCAGAGGTGCTTCCCAGGGGGTTACGGCACCTGGAGTTCCCCAGGATTCCCAGCTGCTGGGCTAAGTGTCCCGGGACACTTCCATCCAGCTGTGGGGTCCCTGTCCCTTTAAGACTTTCAAAAAGCATCGTTTTTCTTTGTCCCAGGGGTGCCAGCTGCGGGGACCTGCTCACAGGTCTTACTGTCCTGTTTCCCTAGTTTCCAGCACCCCACACATGCACTGTGCCTGTGCTCTGGTGCAGAAGGCTAGGGCTGGCTATTTAGCAGTCCTGGGCTCCCTCTCCCTCCCCACTCTGAATCCTCTCCTCCCACTGGGACCTGGGGTAAGGGGCTCTCGGGTCCTGCCGGGCTGGGGCTTGTATCTTACCCCCTTCGCAGGTGTGGATGTAGTCTGGCTGTTGTCCTGTGTCTTCTGGTCTCTCTTTCAGGGATAGTTGTATTTGTTGTATTTTCAAAAATATATATGTTTTTGGGAGGAGATTCCCACTGTCCTACTCACGCTGCCATCTTGGCTCTGCCCTCGCCATTCTTTTTTTTTTTTTTACTTCATATTAAATTACAATTTTATATTTCATAGTTACACTTTTTAATGCATTTACAAAGTTTCATTGAGTTGGTCAGTTTTTTTTTTTAAATTGAAGTATAGTTGATATACAATCTTATATTGATTTCAAGTATACAACACAGTGGTTCAACAGTTACTCATATTATTAAATCCTCACACCCACTCATGCAGTTAGTGTCTGTCAGCATAGGAAGATGTTACAGAACCATTGGCTGTACTCTCCATGTTGCACTTCCATCCCTGTGACCCACTTTTATTATGATTAAGATTCTGTGCCTCTTTATCCCCCTTACCTTCCCTGATTGGTCAGTTTTTTAAACTGGTGAAAAATTGGAAATAACCATAATATTAAGTAATTTTTCAAATGCTCTTATAAATGTCTTCATAAATACTTTTTTTTTTTTTTTTTACTGTTAAAGGATGTATGCTTTTGATTCTCCATTAATCAACTTATCTGGTCAGTAATTCATTAAATAATAAGATTATTAATCAGAAGAAAACTTATGATTTGTCTAGCAATTTTTATTTCAAAACAGATGATATTGTAATAGTGAAATAGTATATACAAAGAAGTTGAGACTTATGATATCACACTAACTATATATTATTATTAAAAGTTTATATCATGTTGTAAAGCATTCTAAAAAGTAAGTTGGTGTTTTGATAGAATAATAGAAGTAGGAAGTATATAAATAAAACATGTATAGAAAACTTTGGGAAATCTATAATTTTAGTATAACTTATGTAACAGCATCATGGAATGGGAATAAAACAAAAATATTTTTCTTAGCACGGTTAAACAATTGGAAATGTGACTGCAGTTTACAAGTCACTGAGCAATTTTAAGATTAACTTTATTTCTTGGGCTTTTTTTGTATTTGCCTCAGTTATTTGGAGACACAGAGGTAAGCCAAAGTGTCTGGCTATAGAGTTAGACCCAGGTGAGTATAGGGATTAAAGAATTGTGTGAATTATGTCACATTCACATTGTAATTAAATGTGCAGAGAGAAGATAGGAACTTATATTAGAATTTTTTTTCTCTCCTAACAAGATAAGTGTAAACTCTTTTGGTTTTAGTCACAAGTATATTTGCCTTATTTTCTGAGAGTAAAGGAAAAGATACACACATACACATACAAATCACATACACATGAATGTTCTTTGTTGAGAGTAATGGAACTAAAAAAAAAAAAAAAACAGCACAAGATAAACTGAGCTCCTGTATATTTTAAGAGGCATGTAAATGTATCCAGAGGAATCACTCAGGATCAACAAACTACACTATATGAAATATTTATCTTGTACTACCACATATACTTTATTTTACATGTCATCCTAATGCTGATGAAGTAGATTATGTATAGAATAGATTCAAAGGATAAGCATAACCATTTTAGCAAACATTAGTTTCAGTAACATTAGAGAAAAATATTTAAATGTGAATTTTAATATATGGTTCATTCTAAATAAAGTATTAACATGTAGATCTAGTTTTTGATACCAAATATTTCATATAAAGATATTTGACTCTTGAAATGTAGGCTAACTCTCCACGTTTTGCTCTTTTATGCAGTGAGTTTGTTTCTTTTCTGTTTTCCATATGAAATCAAATGAGCAATGAAGTTTGACAGACTTACAGGGAGGGTAACATTGACTCACCTACCACCCAGCAATTTTCAGTCTTGTAACTGATAGATTTTACATAGAAAAATTATCTTACGTTAAAATTTTGGTCTAATTCAGAAGATTCTGTTTGGAGTTGTGGATGTATCTGTTTCACTATCATTTGAGGTTAAGAAATGCCAAAGATATTCTGAGATTCAATAAATTGAATGTTTCTGCATGATACTAATTTTTCATCCTTTGGGATATATTTTTCATTTGCTTTTCCATGTTCTGCATATCTCATATACTTATATTTTAGTTAAAATGATTATGTTACTGTAGACAACTTACATTTTTAAATATTGCTGGCCTATGTGCAAACCAATCCTGTTCTTAATGGCCTTGATGTCATTGCCACATACCCACTGAATTCTTTTAAAAGTGTGTGCATGTGATAATTGCTCTGTGGACCCTTAGTGCATCCTAATTCTTTCTTTTAATGCTTTTTCAAACATAGGATTAGCTTCAAAGAAATCTGTAAGTAATGGAAGAAAACACTTGCTTGGTAAAGAATATGCTCCTGAACCTCTCCCGCCTGGTGTGTGTGGGTTCCTGCCATGGCGTACTGCACAACGTGCAAAAAGGATCAGGTAGGGTATTTTTATTCCCTATCTTTAGCCATTCCGAATTCTTTATTTTGGAACTTCCGTTGTGTGGCAGGTCTCTGGTGGTTTCTTTAAAAGAAAAAAGATAATTCATACATAGTTTGTGCCTAATGAGTCCTTTAAGGAAGAAAAACCAAAAAATAAATGGGAGTTTCAAGTTACTAAGTGTCACAACAGATGTAACCCTGTGAGACTCAAAAGAAAACCAAAATTATCTCCAGTTGTGCAGATGAGAAAGGTCTCATTAAATGGGGGTATACTTGAGCCAAGCCCTAGAGCACAGAAGTAGGGTTTGGATATATAGGATTGGTGGGTGGAAATGGGATTTTAGGCATGGGAAATAGTGCAGAGTGGATGAGAAGTATGTATTAGACTTTATTTAACTCAATTGGCTTAACTCGATTTAGTGAATCAAGCTAGACTTAACTACTTTTAGCGGGTTACATACCCGGGGGATAGATAGCTGTTCACAGTAATTTTTGTCATGAAAGTGTAAAAGTCTTTTAAAATTGTTGAGCCATAATTTTAACTTGCTAAGTGAATGAGATTGCTGTTGGTTATTTTCAAATGACTTGCTTGGTAGTATTAAATTGGGGATTAACAATTGCTTACAAAAATAAAGAATTGTTTTTAAATAGGACTTAAAGTAGGTACCGTGTAAAATATCTGTTTAATCACTCATATTAAATTGATATATATAATCTCCATTGGACAACTGACTGATGAATGGTAATATGAATTATTATTGTATAAACCATAGTGCTGAGACCCCAGTCTTTGCACTTTACTTTTACAACAACTTCTTCCGTATCTTCTTCTTGAATTACAATTAATCTCAGGTCCATCCTGGCCCCAGGAGTGGTAAATTAGAGGATGATTAATATCACCAGTTATAGTAGTTAGGACATGAAGGTGCCTCTCAGTTATACAGAGTTATCACAAGCCAATCTGCTAAATTCTGTTGAATTTTCTTTATACTAGAACCTTCATGTCCATGTTTTGGGTTTAGTCATTTTTATTCAGAATTCTGTGTGGGTTTTATACATAATACTAACAAGTTTTATTAACTTGAATTAACTGGTGATGTATCTACATCAAAATATAACTTAATTTGTTGATATCTCTTTAGGGGTTTTCCATTAATCAAAACTCGTGATGAATATAATCAGTTGCAGGTATGTAGTTATCGTATTTATAATATATAGGGTGTTGGAATGAGAAAGGTGGAAGGCCATGTTTTTTGCTTTTTAAACTGAACAGAGCCTTACAAGACATATTTCTCTCCCTGAAATAAATCATGAAAACTTGTCGGGTGGCTGTCCCAGTGCCACTATGTAGTTGGGTCGATAAAGCACAAACTGGGAGCCTTGTGGTTTCATTGGAAAACAAGGAAGCCATTTCTCCAGTCCACAAACCAGCTGTTACCCAGTGAAACAATTTGACTGCCATTTGTGATCCAAAGCATGGAGCTCTCATTCTCAAGAATTTTCATTCATTTTCAAGAAATGTCTGGGGCTTACGTATATAAGTTCCACATCCTACAGCCAAAATAAAGTAACAAATCCCAAAGCCCTTGGAGCTCTTCTCCACTGCCGTGGCCACACACGTGCCCCATCACACTGCCTCGTCGTCTTGGAGGAAGCCAGTCCTGTCAGAGCATCACGTTCTCCTTCCCGAGACTATGTAGCTGCTCTGCAGAGACAGCACTGCTGAGGTTGAGAGAACGCCCTGAGTGTTAGTACCGCCCCCTGCAGGCCCCCAAAAAGAGGAGCACTACTCGTTCTACCATTAGGATTAACTTGTACTGCAGTTTGCTGCTTGTGGTCAAAATGACATCCTAGTGACTTGTCTTCTGTGCACATATGTAATCCAAGCACACCCTCTTTTGATCTGGAGATCGTTTATTGGATTATGGCTGGGTCGGTTTTTAAATGTTTGGAAATACCATCTTGAACCACATTCCAGGGACAGTGAAACTTGACAGGAGAGCTGTATTACTTTTACGGTAGCTTTGACTTAAAGATGAGGGAAGATGAGTCAGTTTGATAGGTTAGTTTCAGAAAACATATTTTTAAAACTTCTAGTATTGATTATTCACAATTTAGGTATGTTTTCTAATTATTCTTATAAGTCTTCTTTATCAGTCCCCTACTGATGGATTATCTTCCTAAAAACTATGTCATAGTGGAGAATAAATTTTTTACCTGCAGTATAATAAAGTTGAGCTGAGAAGAAAATGTTTCCCTTGGTCCCTCACTTGGCTCATGTGAAAGAAATTAATAAAATAATACAGACAAATTTCCAAGTATTAATCCTAACCATGTACAACAATTCTGTGCAATAACACAGCAAAAATGAATTACTATCAGTTTGCTTGTTTTAAACTAAGGAGCAGTGAAAAACATTTATAAATAATGTCTTTATACCTCAGATCAATTTTGCTAAATGCCCTTTAATATTTGGTATCCAATTTATAGTGTCTCATACACTGTCTTGTCTTTCTTCTTTAAGCAATCAGAGTTTCCTGTGACTGTGACCGTAGAGAGTCCTTCCTCCTCAGAAATTGAAGAGATGGATGATTCTTCAGAAAGCGTTCAAGAAGAGCCTGAGAAGGCCAGTTTAAAACTAGAAGCATTACAGGTACAAAGTCATCACTTTAAAGATACAGAGAAGATTGTTATTCACACTGTAGATACAGCTGGTGGGAGCCTGATCACCCACTGAACAGCTGGCATGAGGGCTCTGCTTTCCCTCCCAACTGTGTCATGTCCCCTGGTATGGTTCCTCAGCTCAGACCACAGTGAAAGGTGGCTGTTTGAACTTTAAGAAATAAAAATCAAAATGTGCCATCAGTAATATATTTTATTTTCCTTACAGCCATAGATTAGATTTAGGGAGAATCTTAATGGTCATAACTTAAAAGTCAGAGAAATTGCGTTCTGAATGAATGTCATCATATAATGCAGTGCTCTTATTTTGTAGATCAGGAAATTGAAGGTTCTAGCTGAAGTCTCTCTATAAGAGGAAATTATCTTATTTTTAATAAAGTCAGAAAACTTTTGATATTGACCCTCTCCTTTACTAAAATGAAAAATTTCAAGAAGCTACATTATATTGCCCAATAAACCTGACATCTGATATCATCCCATACTTCTGTTGGTATGAACAGAAAAGTTGATATTCTTAGCAAATTTTTGTACCTCAAAAACACTGTATTTATTTTATTTCAATTTTGATGAAGAGCTGATAATTTGTACTAAATAAGGGAAGCACCATTTGTGGGGACCTTGTCTTTTATGTTATTAAGTCCACATTTAATTTTTTTAAATTTCTTTTACTATGAAACTTGACAGATTTAGAACTAGTTCTCTCATTATTTCTATAAAAATTACTTGATTTTCAAAAAAGAAAGCCATATTTTTATTTTTTAATTAAAATGAATGATAATATAGAGAAATTTAAAATAAGTACTTAGAAAAGTATGAAATACTTAAGTGAAAGGAACCTGTAGTTCAGGCAGAATTACTCCTTTCACTTTATAAATGAGCATCTACAATCTGTAGTACTGAAGTGTTTCATTACTAAGTTGCACAGTAAAGACAAGACTCTAGAGTCTAATTCAGATTAACTGTAATTTTAGATGTGCTATATTCTTTTCCTTCCCCAGGAGGCTAGGAAATTGTATTTCTAAAAGCAATGCAGACACTGGGGAGGACCAAGGGGAACAGGAACTGTAACTAGAGAATAGCCAATCAAGATGCGCTGAGGAACTTCTCAGCTCTACTCCATTTTGATAAGACACTAAAATGATGGTATCAAAAATTATAAGATGTATAAACCCACAATGATTAGAAGATTTTAACCTGTTTTTGAAAGACAAAAGTGTAAGAGTATTAAACGGAGACCATAGAACAGAGGAAAACTGCCACCTAGACTCTGTGGGAACTGCCTGCAGCTGAGGGGGTCCCATCTTGCGGCAGAAGTAGCTCCATCCTCATATGTGCAGGAGAGAGCGTGGAGTTAGTTCAAAATGTGACTAAGATAGGGAGAGTGTATCGAAGGTGTGTATTTGAAGAGCTGATTCCCCATCCCACCCTCACATTCCTGAAATGAGGTCATTTCACTTTGAAAAAAAGATTGGAAAGAACTAAAGCAGCTACTGTGAATTTTTGTACCCTAGAAAAGAGTGTTTGGGGGTATCCTATTGTAACTGCTCACTTTTTCATGCACAAGAGAAGCCAGTCAATCACTGGCTGTCAGGAACTTCCTACCCTCATTCTTAAATAGAACATAACCACGGTTTGCCTTACAATATGATAGGGAAAAAAGTAATAATATCCAAGTAGGACCAGGGACAATTTAGGGAACAAAAATAATTTAGGAAAAAATCTCAATTAATATCCTGGAAGGTTTAAAAGAAAATAGCATCTATAAAATAAGAATAGGGTGTTAATTTAAAATAGAATGATCAGAAAGCAAGAGAGGTCTCTTGGAAATTAAAATATGATTGCTGAAATAAATTCAGTAGGAATTAAGGACATTTCTCAGTATATAAAAAGTAGAGTGGAACATGTAACAGAAATGCTATGGTAGGCTACATCTGGGAAAGCCAACATGTTACTATTAGAAATTCTGGAGAGGATGAAAGAATGGAGGGAAGGGGGCTGTCAGAATGGAAGAAAATTCTCTGTAGCTAAAATCAACATTAGGCCTCAAATTGAAAGAGCTACCCAAGGTGAGTTAAAGTAGACTCACTCGTACACCTGGACACTCATCAGTGTAAAATTTCAAGATAAGAAGAAATACGTAAATTCAAGAGAAAGATAGTGGTTATCTAAAAAAGAATAGAAGTCTGACTTTATCGTGCTTGGCATCAGCTACCATGGATCCTGGAAGGCATCGAAAAGATAAATCCAAAGTTTTTCAACCTAGGGTCGGTATCCAACCAAACTATTAATCATAAGTGGAGACTGAATAAGATACTTTGTACATAAAGAAATTTGTAAAGTTTATCTCTGATGCTACTCCTTTTCTTGAAGTTATTTGAAGATCTAACCCAGCAAAGTGAGGAAGTAAACCAAGAAGGAAGATAATAGGGGTTCAGGAGTTAGTGGATTCAATGCAGAGAACAACTAGTCTGGATTTGATAGGCTTCCCCTGATGGTGTGAGATTCAGAGCTTAGAAACACCTTGAGGCATATTGTACATACTGTGTACTGAGACCTGTTGAAGGGAGGATAGGGAGCAAGAGAGCGGGTAGGAAATCAAACTCTAGGGGAGAAAGAGCCTTATTGGCATAAACGTGAAGCAAACTAAACTATGACAGATTTTTTAACTCCCATTGGTGTGCAAAACAGAAGAATCACTTAAATTTGGCACTATAGATGTCCCCCTTTTTATAGTGGCAAAGGACTAGGTGACCACCTATCTCATTTGTTCAAACCAAAGCACTGTTTAGTGTAAGGAGGCACTATAACCCTATAATGTCTGGATAACAGGTATGGGAACAGTCAGGGCAGTTTGGGATGTGTGGTCACCCTGCACAAGGGCTGACACTGAAATAGTATAGAAGAAGCTGTAATCTCTATATGCCCAGAGATACCTTGTAAGTTCATGTTGGGCAATATTAGTTTAACCATCCTAATGGAAATACTGTGTTGGTTCACAGCTTCTATTATCAATAAGTTGGTATGTATTATGTTCTAATTGTTCTGCATATATTAACTCATATACTCTGAGTAGCCTAATGAGATAGGTGCTGAAATCATTACCACCTTTCTGAAAAGGAAGCTAAGATAGGGAAGGAACTTGCCCAGTCTGTACCTCCTAATTTAGGGTTGCCTCAGGACAGTGAGCTCAGCTTCCTACCTGTTCTCAAGCACTACTGTACAGGCATACCCCAGAGATACTGCAGTTTCAGTTCCATAACACTACAGTAAAGCGAGTCAAATGAAGTTTTTGGTTCCCTAGTGCATATAAAAGTTATGTTTACACTGTACTTTAGTCATTAAGTGTACAATAGCATCATCTGAAAAAACAATGTACATACCTTAATTAAAAAACACTTTATTACTAAAAAGTACCATCTCTGAGCCTTCAACAAGTTGTAGTCACTAATCACAGATAAAATAAAATAATGAAGAAGCTTCATCTATTGGGAGATGACCAAAATGTGACACAGAGTCATGAAATGGGCGAATGCTATTGGAAAAATGGTGTTAATAACTTGCTCAGGGTTGCCACAAACCTTCAGTTTGTAAAAAACAAAAACAAAACAGTATCTGTGAAGCACAGTTAAATGAGGTATGGCAGTCTGTGTCTCAAATAACACAACTGCACATACAACAGGATGTAAATATCAATTTTGACAACATAAAAGTTAAGTGTGGGAAGTAGACAGTAGGTGAAAAGAAGGGGGAAAGGCATGAATGTCCTCATTTTACAAAGTGGAGCACGAAGAGAGTTGGCAGTTGGTAAACAATAGATTTTTAAATGTATCACTATAAGTCAAAGAGGTCAACGACCATTGGGGCACTAATGGTGACATCTTATGGAGAGAAATGGACATAAGAAGAGTCTAAATGAACTAAAACTCTTCTGTAGTGAAATAGGAAGTTAACAGATGTCTAAAATTAAGCCATGATGTAGTCACATATGTTACTGGAAACAGAGAAGAATTAAAAATAAGAAAGATTGCCTTAAACTTCATAAAAAAAGGAAATCCAGATAGTACACATGGAAAAATGTCCAGCCTCATTGCTAATCACAGAAAATGAATTAAAACCAGTGTGAAATGCCAGTACACTCCAGTCAGATAGACAAAAAATAAAGTCTCATAGTAACAGGTATTGTAGACCTGGAAGTATAGTAGGAATCTCAGACCCTGCTTGTACAGGAGTATAAATCAACATGCTACTTGAAAGCACTTAGCATTGTTGGTCTGCTGAAGGTGCAGAGATAAACTGTGACCCAACAGTCCTCCTGGCCTCCAGGGGAACACACTGGGATAATGCCTGCAAAGGATACGTGTGCTTTATTTGCATTAGCCTAGACTGTAAATGACCCAAATGCCCATGAAGAGTTAGAAATTAAGTATGTGTATTTGTACAGCGGGAAAACAATAAAGCAGTAACTGAATGAACTAGAGCTACAGGCAACAACGTGGATGAATTTTTTAAAACAATGTTGAGTGAAAGAAGTAAGATACAAAAGACTGCATACACTGTGATTCTCTTTACATAAGTTACAGGTTGGCAAAACCAACCTGCGCTATTAGGCATGCATGCATGTAAAGGAAATGATTGTCAGGAAATGAGGATGGTGTTTACCTCTGGAAAGAGGGAAGGAGCTTGTGATGGGAAAAGGATATGGGGTTTTTCTGGATGCTGACAACTTGTCTTTGCAGACTTGAGTGCTGGTATATAAACTCTCTTTTTCCTTGTCACACTGACATTTTTGTTGTGTACTTTTCAGTATGCATATCATATTTTACAATTCAAAACCTGCTTAAAGAAATGGTTGCTTCTGGGGAGCTGGTGTGTGGGTGGAATGAAACGATTTCCTTATAAGCCTTTCGCTGTTTGCATTCACATGCTCACTCATTTAGCATTAATTGAACATATTCGATGTATGAAGCACTC